CTCAGAGGGGGAAGAAACCGCAGCGCGGGCTTCCGAGCCTCGAGAGAGAGCGCTGGATCTAGGGAGTGCAGGCGGAGAAAGGGCGAGCCGTCTCCAACCCATCCGCTAGATCCACGTGCGATCCCCGCGATCTGAATCGCCGCCGTGCCTCAGCAATAGCGGGACCAAACTGCGAGCTCGCAAGCACGGACACACTCCTCGGAGCGTGCCCGGCAGGAGCGGATCATTCAGCGGGGAGAAGCACAATCAGCCTCTTATTTCCGAGAGCTGACTGCGCGAGCTCCGCTCCCCAGATATAATGCTTGTGCGCGGCGGGTAAAGCACAATCAGCCCCTCTCTTTTTCCCGAGAGCTGACTGTGCGAGCTCCGCTCCACAGTAAAGCTTCTCATTATAATATTAGGCATAATATGCTTGTGTAACTGATGCTTGTGCAACTGGTGAGAACATACAAATATGTTGATAAATTATTAAATTCTCACTTCAAATAAATATTTTAGGTCAAAGGGGTTCAGCTCACATAAAAAGCTTATGAAGCCTTACATTACATGGACAATCGCAAATATAAACGAAAACATGACATTACACGGCCAAGGTCTTCCAGATTTGAAACATTTTTGTCCAGACCTCCAATAATAATAATTAGTGAAGGTCACTGGGCATGATGAAGACTTCACAGCTATGCATCTACAGTGTTTAGTAACTTTTTAGTCTCATGTATATAAGCGGTAGGTTCATTTAGAAAAAGAAAAGAAAAAGAACGGATTATGAATAATTTACTGCCATTGTGTGAATAATATGTAATCATGTAATCCATTAAAAAGTAATTGTAATCTTATTATGAGCATTTTAAAACGTAATATAATCTAAAAGTACTTAATTTTTGGAATCTGATTACATAATCCAGATTACATGCACTGCATAAACAGCACTGCATATTAGTGAAGTCTATCTTTCTGGAATCTGCCTTACCACTCGATTCTGGAACACAGATCAGATCACAGATGCTGAGTGGGCGAGAATCTCACTTTGGCAGACACTCTTTCTCTGCAAAATGGCGGAGTGATTCTGCCTTTCACAAGATATCCAGTGCCAAATCGTATTAACAGAACAATGGCTTGTTTTATACTGTGAACAGCTGATCACAGAAGACTGATTTCTGGTTGTTAGGTTTGAGTCAGCAGCAGAAGGAAGGTTCACCTTTTCAAGCAAATCTGAAGGGTCAAAAGTTAAGGGAAATGCAGACAGTTGAAACAGCAGCTTGTAGTACACTGTACCGTGAATATGTTTAAGCATGAGGAAAAACAAATCCTGGTTACCAAGTTACCCATTCATTTCAAAGAAAAAAAAAAGAAAACCTGTGTTAACAAACTGACACCACAGGGCAATTTTCAATACCTGCCAAAACTTGAAATGGTTGATGTGCACTATATTTCAGTGAAAATAAATGAGTAACTATTGTAACTAGGATTTTCTGACACTTAACTGCATGTTATTTGCAATTAAATGAAAATGTCTTATAGTTTAAAATTATATTAATGCAATTAGTTGAACTTAGAGTGATTTTTTGACCTACCAATGTAAGACTAATTACACATTTGTAATGATCAATTTGCAAATTAGTACATTTTAATTATATTAACTTTAAATGTAATATTAAATACAGGTAAAACTTTGAATTTGACATTATTATAAAGTGCACTTTTAAAAGTGTACATAAATGTGTTAAGAAACAGTCATGAAGGTGTATTCTTCTTCAAGTATATATAAGTGGCCTTTTATTTGACTAATATTATATTATATTATCTACAAGTTTTTTTAAAATATACTTTTAAGATTAAAAGTACACTGCAAGTGCACATTCAATACAATTAAGCAAACTTCTTTTTCCACAAGGGTATAGTACCATTCATAAAGGTCAAAAAGACTATGTATTAGAGCATGTGTGCAGTGAGAAGGATACAGTCGACGATGCATCCTCCCTGGATGTTCCCGCTTTGAGAGAAATTAAGCTGAATAAATTTCCCAAAGCGACTGGAGTTGTTGTTGTACACTGTTTTGGCATTTCCAAATGCTTCCATGATGGGGCTGAAAAAAAATAAAGGTTTTGGATTTGTTTGTGCACATAAAAATGCTTAAGCTGTGTGTGTGTTAAGGAATGTGTTTTACCTGCTCTGTACGATGGCTTGCTCCACGCATGTAATCTTCTCCGTAGGCGGCGTCCCGGCAGAGTTTTGGCTCATGACAGACAGGAACTGTAGCAGTAGTTTGGTGCTCTCTGTTTTCCCAGCTCCACTTTCACCACTGGTAAACACACATGCACACATTCATTTGTGACCTTCACTGACATTTGTGTTACCCTGATTGAATTTGCAATGCTGTGAAATCTGATAGCAGTTTGTGGGTCTAAGCCACAACTACTCAAACTCAGCCTTTAGGTTTAACACAAATTAGATTAGTAAACTAAGATAATAATGGATCCACATCAGTCAGTGAGTAAAGCCAAAAGCGAAAGATAAATTCTTTGTATGGTCATACTCATTCCAGTCAATGAATGAATCAAGACTTTTAGCACTTTATGAGCACATTTTACTGAAAATCTCCTATTTCCTAGATCAAATAAAGCGGTTGGAGGTCTTATATTACCTTATTAGCACACATTGGCTATCATGTCTCTTCCATAAGCAGCGGTAGCACTCATTGGCAATAGCAAAGATATGTGGCGGCAGCTCGCCCAAATGATGCTGGCTGTACAGCTCCACTGCGGAGAGATCATACAGTCCTCTGATCTGCTTATAAGGATTCACGGCCGCCAGGATAGAACCTATGTTAGTCTGAGAGACAGAGAAAAAGTGGCAGTAAATCAAGGAGTATTGAGTATAATAAAGCCACCAAACAGTAAAACAATAAAACCAGCTGAAACCATAACTGAAACAAATGCACACACATTTGTGATCAGTGCATATTTTAATTTATAGCCACAGATAAAGAGACATTTCAAGGGAACTTTAATAATCAGTATGTGATCTGGTCTTATTTCACAACTGGTTGCGTCAGTGGGTCGTGAGAAAAATCCATCTCATTTAATATTGACTGAATGGTCTTATTAATGTTTTTATGTGTGGGTGTGTGATTGTAATTTTCATATACTGTGGCTAACAACACCCATGCTGACTGGCAGTAATATGATTTACTGATCTTAGCTACAGCAGTGATGAGATTAAATTGAGACATTACTGGATTCGTGGAGAGGCACCAAACACATCTAGACCCAACATTATGGACACTACACACACACAAAAAAAAAAAATCATATCAAATCAGTATATTATCTGTGGATCTGAAATTGTTTCAATGTTATCCTTACAAAAAATATTTTTTTGATCCTGCCCCAAGAGGGCGCTACAGAGAAGAGTCATTCTCATTCAGGTTGACAATGTCCTGGTGTCTCAGATAAATCAGATAACTGCTGCTATCAGGCATCAACCTCAGATGCTAGCAATGCAATGCATCCTGGGATAGGTGAATTACAGTATCCATTTACCAAGATGGGATAAGAGAGACCCGTCACATTCACTCCACTGGGCACAACATGACACAAATCTGCAGTCTAAAACAAGATCAACAATACAGCTGCAAAAAGAAGCCTCAGATGCTGTTTTATTTTTTGTTTAAATGACAGGGAAATTTATATAGCTTATTTTCAGGCACTGATGGTGAAATGTTATTTAGCTCTTCTAATAAAAAGCATTACACTGACCTTCGCTAATCGTAGAAACATCCATACATAATTTCCTGTATTGCATATGAGAACTAGACTGATTCATTATACCGTGTCTCATAAAGCTTGCCATTTCATTACCAGCACAAATATACCAAGATAACAACCATATTATCTCACTTGTTCGAGCAGATTATTGGACTATACTCTGAAATAGGTTTAGATTTCATGACGTGTTTTGGGTGTAGATGACTGTCGGGTGTTTTTGTTCACAACTGTTGCTACCAATTACCTCTGACACAGGGACTGAGGCTTTATAAATAGTCCCAGTGCCTGTAAAAACGGCACTTATTCGTGGTAAAATACTTAAACAATATCAAACAATTTGATAAATTGTAGTAGTCTGGGCAATATGCAATATAGTAATGTAACTTTATTAGTAAAGAATTCAACTGATGTGTGGTTAGTTGCGGTTACTGGTAGGTTTTTTATTTTATAATGACTTTTTTTATTTTTGAAGATGGCTCATCTAATCATAATTTAGTGCCAAAACTATACATTTTATAATGTGTGAAAAACAATATTTAATTTTGTATGATACATGATGTTGTAGTGTCTATTGAATCACAGGCAAGAGATTCAAATATGGCCGTGTCAGAATGCTGACCAAATTAAGAGACATAAATACAATTTAATAAATAAATTTTTCAAATTTTATGTTCTACAGAAGAAAGAACGTTAATACAGATTTGGAACGACATGAGGGTGAGTAAATGATGACAGAATTTTCATTTTGGGGTGGACTATCCCTTTAAAATCTCTAATTCCAGCTAGCGCTGTGTCCAATATTATTTTCATTATATCAAACGTAAAATATTGTCTAAATCTCCTTACTACAGCTACTACCCTTCCCATTCTCTTCACTGTATTCTCAATATGCTTTGACCATGACAATTTATTATCCAGGGTGATACCCAATAATTTTGCTTCCTTAACTTGCTGAATAAGTGTTTTCCCTTTAAAATCTCTAATTCCAGCTAGCGCTGAATACTAAATAAACTAATTATATAACATAATACTAAATAATACATGTGTTCAGTTAAGTTATAGCACTTTATCACTAGTTCTGGGTTAGTTAAAACCTGCCTGATGGAAGATTAAAATGAATCTGAAGCTGTGCAATCATGCTGAAAACCTCCAGTATACTTGCCTCTGTCCCAGTCAATCCTTACAAAGAAGGATTTACTGGCTTTATGGTCTCTTTCTATGGATTTTGCAAAGGTCAAGCTCGAAGTTTGGATCATGCAGACAGTGAGTCATACCAGTCCCTCCAGGCTACAACTCTAAACCAGCAGTCTGGGATGTATGGCTCTGTTTAGACCAATGAGGTTCCAGCCTGCACTCACCACCTGATCACGTGACCCTTCTCTTTGTCAACATCATCGGTTAGACCCTATAGTGGCACACATATATTTAAACATGTCCAGAGGGCATATTCTTTGATTTCTCTCTGTCTCACACACACACGGATGCTGTTGCAGTGTGTGAAATATACAGTACATACTGTATGAATGATAAAAGTGAGTTGAATTACCCAAATAAGAGCATTATTGCAAGTTTAACTTAAGAACAGATGGTTAATAGTCGGATTCTGGATTTTGCTATTCAAAACCCAGTGCTATTTTTAGCATAAATTCGACTCCCTAATTATAAAAAAGTCTGTCCATTGAGCACTAGCAGAGCACAGTTTTAATCTTCTGTTGGTATTTAGGCTGATAAACTCAGCTAAACTATAAGATAAACTAAATAAAAGCAGACGCTGAAACATTTACACAACATATTTTCAAATCAGTTTTGTCTGAAAACCCAGTTTGGGATGTATTATGTTTCGGATGTTTTTCTTAAAGAAGGAAAATTCCTTAATCAAACAGGGTTTCCTTTCAGTCTCAGGCCGAGATGTTTTGAGTTAATATCACTCTGCTAAACTAAGGAAGGAAACTCCGGTTCCTCTCTCTCAGCCAGTCAGATTGCTGTCCACCCTCAAACTCAGAATACAAAACAACACAGGATTAATTACACAGGAAATAGGAGTGAACCCTTACTCATTAACTGCCATCCTGACCTACTTTTTCACAAAGTACTGGCAGAAAATTTGGAAATTGAGAAAATTTGGAAATCTCAATTTATATATATTAAGGATATTGACATTAATGATTGTAACACTTTGATGTAGAATGCCTAGATGCTTATTTGTTAATTTTTCATTACTTATATTGGTCAGTACAGTATTCATGGGCTTCAGGCACGAGACTTTTTTTTTGTGGCCGCCATCTTTAGGACCTTTGCGTAGCCTCTTTCTGGTGATCGTAAGCCAAAATAGCACACTTCACCACCAATGAAAAACAACGGTATTTAAAGAAAACAGATACTTTAGGATTAAATCCTTATTTACTGTCAAGCGAACCGCTGACTCCACTAAAGTCTAGTCAAAACTTGTCAAATTTGACGTTTGCTGATATTTACATCTACCTCATCCACAATCCCTCTCCATACACCGGTGACCCAGATAGCAAAATACACTCGGGCCAGTTTCAGTTAAATTCTCATCTGCCGGAGACTTACCCTCGGCTCGGCCCGGCTCCATCTGCCGCACTCGGCCTGGATGCCTGTGTACTCACTGCCTGATTCTGGGCCGAATCAATCTGGCCATGCGACATCCGTTAACTTGCTGACACTGCAGCATCCAAGCTGGACTCGGCCTATCGCTACTGTACACAGCGCGTGAGACGTGGCCCAGTTTCATTTCTATATCTAATGTACTGTTCATTAATATTTCATTAAAAATTTAATCCATAGCCAAATCGGATTACTTTCATTTCAATTATTTGTTTATTTGTTTGTTTATTTATTTGGATCCCCATTAGCTATGCCCTAAGGCATTGCTAGTCTTCCTGGGGTCCACACAACACTTAACATTCATACATTATTACATACATTAAAAAATAAAAACTCGATACCAATCATCTGTCATTTGTGCTAAAGCTGTACATGTGGATTTTACTGTACATGTAAAATATAGGTTATAATGCATAAATAACATGACTTAACAAATCTGTAAACATCTCATTATTATGAATGCAATTTTAAAGTCCATTAAATAACTTGCTTGATCAAGCTGGCATGAGGAAAATTTATTTACACAACAATTTATTTACAAAACCATGCAATTACAGCAAAAAAAACAGCAGTTATACAATGTGTAGATAAAATATTTAACACATTTTGCAAAATTATCCATGCATTTACTTATGCTTGGATTGTAAAATGTAACAAGTAAAGGTTAAAACATTAAAACTTAAAAATTGTTTTGAATAGCACATTGGTAAATGGCAAAGTTTTGGAATAAAATACATTTGTACTTGGCAAAATAATTAAAATCATTACCTAACTATTACTATGGATCATTTTTGAGTGAATCAGTGACTACTGTTCCTTGGTTGTTGCTCATTTTCCAAATCTTTTATCAGGAGTTGTGGTCATTGTGTAACATCTTTCCACATCTTAATCTGGTGGGTTCTTTGCTTGGGAGCTTTCATTTCTGCACCTGTAAAGAGCAAATAACATACAAGTATCTATTACTAAAGGTCTATCTTAATGCACCAAACTGAATGAAATTAAATATATATATTGTAGTAATGTATATGTTGTTTGACGGACTATCTACAATGATAGCACATTAAAGTAGCTGTGCCCCGCAAGATTAATATTTAAGTTGTGTATCATCCTTTGTGGCATGTTAAGAGAAACAATCAGTTATTCCTGTGATTCTCAACATGCTGAGTGAAGAAGCAACTAAAGTAGCAACAGAAGTGATAAACTGTGATTCTGTGTTGTAGTCAGTTACATGTGTTTTAGCAGAGGTGAGCACCTGTACAAGTCTGCTTACATTTAGCAACTGTAAAAGCAGGACAGAGCTATTGCAGATAGTCTCAGACATACTGATTGCAGTGCATTCACATCGCAAAAATCACTGAAACTAGCTTATGTATTTAGTTAACTGAAGTTATTTGAAAACAACGATCTTCTATAGAATTACAATACTAATGGTACAAACAAATCCTCTTCACTCTAACTTCCTTGAAGTAATATGAAATAAAATCAGGTTTTGCTTATTAGGATTACATTCATAAAAATAAGAATGTGGAAACGAAAAATACAAACCTTTCTCCTCGTATATGCTGGACCGTCATCCTCCTCCTCTTCTTTATCATCTGTTTGTTTGCGGATCTCGTCAAAGTTTAGTGCAGCGTAAACACTCTAGATTCACATAACTGTCCTTAGATCAAAGATCAAAAACATCTCGTTCATGTATTAGCTTTAGGTGGTAAGCACACCGAAAGTTTTCGGCCAAAGCAAGAAAGCCGCTTTCGCTGCAGTCTCGCACACGAATTTTACTTTTTGCACATTCCTTTATGAGCTTATGAGTGCCTGCTAAGTAAAATACTAAAATGTAAATGTGCATCGATGCTTACAAGAAATATTTAACCAAAATGATCCAATACATCCACATCTCTTGGTAAATAAGCCATTGTGATTTGCTGTTATCACAGCCCACAGCACAGCAGAAAGATGCCATGTTGCAATTCGGTCCTACAAATGTTGGCCGCACCACTGTGTGGTGGGGGGGGTCTCTCGACTCAAACTAACAGTGCCCACATTAGAACCACAGCTCAATGTGTTGGAGCATGTGTGCAAAACACAAGGCCATAGCTCTGACTAATCCATTTTTTTTAATCATCCATTGTCTGTAGACCAATCCTATTGCAATACAATGAAATTATGAAATGCATATAATATACATGAGATGCATGTAAGAGACATATAGCATTCAAGGTTATTATAGTTTTGCATTTTCACATTTGTTTTTATTTCAATAATAATTTCAAATATATTTTACTTTCAGTTTTGTTTTAGTTAGTTTCAGAAATGATTTTTTTTTTTACAGTTTAGGTTTTATTTTATGGACATTTCTATTTCTTTATATATACTACCGGTCAACAAATTTGGGGTTGGGTAAGATTTAATTAAATTTTTTTAAGTCTTTAATGTTCACTAAGGCTGCATTTCTTTGATCAAAAATAAAGTAATAACTGTAACATTGTGCAGTATTATTACAATTCAAAAAAAAAATTTTTTTGTTTGTTTTCTAAATATTTTTATTATATTTTTAAATGGAATTTATTCCTATGATGGCAAAGCTGAATTTTCAACATCATACTCCAGTCTGTGTCACATGATCCTTCAGAAATCAAATATGCTAATAAGCTTGGTGCTCAAGAAACATTTCTTCTTATTATCATAATCAACATTTAAAACAGTTGTGCTGCTTAATAATTTGTGCAAGAACAGGAATTATTTCAAACAGAAATCTTTTGTAACATTATAAATATTTTCCCTCTGTCACTTTTGATCCATTTAATGTGTCCTTGCTAAATAAAAGTATTAATCAAAAATCGTACTGACCCCAAACTAGTGTATTTCAGTTTTAACTGTAGTAATAGTTAAGGAATCAGTTGAGGAATCAAAAGAACATTGTTTAGATTTGCATCTCAAATAATCTCGTCAAGGCTAGACATGATGACTCTGTGATTTATTTGTGCAACAAATAAAAACAATCTGTGGTGAAATCAAAAGTTCAGTTGATCTAGTGACTCATTGGTTGGAAGAGGTCTTGAGTTATTTTATTTATATTTTTATATTTTTATTTATAAGTTTAAATTAGTTTGATAAACTTGACCTCTGTTGTATGACACTATTCAAATTCAAAAGGATCACTCACTTTTGACTTCTAGTAAGTGAGGAGACTTTTGATGAGTAGACTAGGGATGCTCTTATTGACAGTTTAACCGTTTACTGACAGTAAGAATTTTAGCCTATTAATACTATCAGTTAAACGGTTTTAAAAGTATTTTTTTCCCAAATATTTTTTGTTAAAGAAAAATATTCTATACATATTTGTTAACTCAAGGGGGCATGTGGATACGTGCAACCACACGTGCCTACATATTTCGCTGCGCAAACCTGAAGTAGTAAAGACAACACAATGGAAAAAGGCAATATTGGATAAATGGTTATCAGAGAGTGAATCCGTGGGTGAATGTATTCAAATTCTGAATGGGTTATAGCCTAGAAAGTGCGCAAAGAGCGCTCCCCCTGATAATAATTAAAAAGCATCTCAGTTCTTTGCGATCTCATAAATTTCTGTTGTAATCAATAAAGCTCTACACTACTGCACAATTAATCACTTATTTACATTGTGTGTACATTTTGTTTGTTCTAATGAGAAGATTCGTGAGCGTGCACAACTCAGAAAAACTGAACAAAACTCCTGCTTTATGAGCGGTGAATGGATTCTAACTTAAACACCTCTAATTGGCCATTGCGTTCACGAAATCAACAGATATGTCTGTGATTGGCTACAAGAAACCGGTGTTTTCTGCCGCGATACAGGCTGCGCTCCAGACTTTGCTCCCACAGCAAGTCGATACATAAATTTTTAAAAATAAAAACTAGACAAGTTGTGCACTGACCTGCTATTTATTTTTATGCCTGACGAAAAACATGTGCGCATTTAAAGATTCAGTGTGTGTTTTTGTTTTGTCATCTTAATTTGTTATTTATTTAAGTGAAAAATATTTAGTGTAGGCCTATTTATTTTATTCTTTTTATTTATATAATTTTATTCCATTTTTCTTTGTTTGCAGAAGTGCTGCAGGTGTGTGATAATTCAGACATGTGTGAATTCAGGTTCTGTTGTTGCTCTAAATGTTGTTGCTCAGGTTCTGTATCCTGCTGTTTGCACGTTAAAATAAACCAGTGGGAAAAAAACAAAAAAAAACAAAACAAAACAAAAACCTCGACTCAAACTAACAGTGCCCACATTAGAACCACAGCTCAATGTGTTGGAGCATGTGTGCGAAACACAAGGCCATAGCTCTGACTAATCCATTTTTTTTAAATCATCCATTGTCTATCCTATTGCAATACAATGAAATTATGAAATGCATATAATATACATGAGATGCATGTAAGAGACGTATAGCATTCAAGGTTATTATAGTTTTGCATTTTCACATTTGTTTTTATTTCAATAATAATTTCAAATATATTTAACTTTCAGTTTTGTTTTAGTTAGTTTCAGAAATGATTTTTTTTTTACAGTTTCGGATAATGAGTGCTGGTTGTCAGTCGGGAAAATTAACCGAAGTGTGCATCCCTAGAGTAGACAGATAAAAGCAGAAAAAAATATCATATGGCTTAACAATAACATAATAGTGAACTTCAATGTGGTTTAGATTAAGATATCTAAGATGTCTTAACTGTTTTTAAGAGGACAGGACAAACCTAAAGACATTTGTAGCAAAGTTGTAGCATACAATAATAACCCTGATAAGGTCTCAAGGACATTCGTGCGGTCAAGCGTCTGTAAGATTCTTACATAGATGTTGTCTTTCTGGTATCGCTGATGAAGGTTGTGCATGATGGCGGCCTCATGGAGCTCTGCCAGCGTGGACATGTCTTCCACTCCATCAATGCTGCTCTGGTGCATGGGGGACACCTTCTCCCTGTTCACCTCCGCCTGCTGCAGGTTTTAGGTTTTATTTTATGGACATTTCTATTTCTTTATATATACTACCGGTCAACAAATTTGGGGTTGGGTAAGATTTAATTAAATTTTTTTAAGTCTTTAATGTTCACCAAGGCTGCATTTCTTTGATCAAAAATAAAGTAATAACTGTAACATTGTGCAGTATTATTACAATTCAAAAAAAAAATTTTTTTGTTTGTTTTCTAAATATTTTTATTATATTTTTAAATGGAATTTATTCCTATGATGGCAAAGCTGAATTTTCAACATCATACTCCAGTCTGTGTCACATGATCCTTCAGAAATCGGTACACCGCCTGAAAGACAGAAACAGACAGAGTAGGCTTAACAAAATAACATAGCTTCCATGCACACCAGCCTGCTGATACACACACAGATGCATGAGTAGTATATCACAAAAGGGGAGAGGATCCTTCCTGGGCCATTTTAAGGGAATGCCTACAGTTGAATAATGCATTAGTCAGACAGCAGGGTTCCCGCTTTTCTGTTTTGTGGAGTTTCAGTATGCTGAGGCCTTTTCTTTACCCTTTATACCCACCAGGCACTTCTTGACAAAAACACCAGATGTTTTGCCAAGTAGGGAGTACAGTCTGGCCTATTTAAACTCAGCAAAAAGGAAACTCTTAATAATGCAGGAGCTAACATGAAACATGTTTTTGCATGTGTAATATGTAGCTTATAAATGTCAGTGTTTATATTAAAGGGATAGCCATTGAATTCCATAGTATTTTTTTCCATACTGGAAATAGAAGTCATATGGAAGTCAATGGCTACTGTCAACTGTTTGGTTACCAACATTCTTCAGAATATCTTTTTTTGTGTTTAACAGCTGAAAGAAATTCATACATGTTTGGAACAACTTGAAGGTGAGTAAATGATGACAGAATTTTCATTTTTGGGCGAACTATCTCTTTACAATTTTACATTAGGCAGTATGCACAATACAGAAGAAAAGATCTGCCACTACTTAATTTACAATGTGACTTTAGTATCAAGAGACAACTATAATTAAGTCATCTGTATGTTGATTTCCTCAAAAATGAGGGTCTGAGGGTTTGATAAGAGTCATAATTTTTTTTTTGCAATTTGGTGATGCTATTGCTGCAGAAATTACACACTTCAGATTTAATATCCATGTAAATTACATGAACTTTGATAAAAGGTTCTTTGCTTTATTTGAGTGGACAGAACAAAAGGAGGAGACAGTCTCTCTCTCGTCCTCAGCATTCATTTAATTTCTGCTGAAACCTCACTCGTGTTGCCCATTGCCACAGTAACCAGAGAGCACAGCCCAGTTACACTTCAGATTTAATATCCATGTAAATTACATGAACTTTGATAAAAGGTTCTTTGCTTTATTTGAGTGGACAGAACAAAAGGAGGAGACATTCTCTCTCTCGTCCTCAGCATTCATTTAATTTCTGCTGAAACCTCACTCATGTTGCCCATTGCCACACTAACCAGAGAGCACAGCCCAGTTCATGAAGAGAGAGCTGAGAGTCTGATAGATTAAAAATCAATACAGCCACTAAAGCCGCATTTCCACCGAAATTACCCAGAACAATTGTACCAGGAACTTTTACACCGAAATTATGTGCTACTTCATTCGAAATCAGGTTTGTTTCTTTATATTTCTAAATAAGGTTTGATTCTGATTAGGAATCACCAAATAGTCTGGTGACGTAGGTCTGCGCGCGTTTCAATACCAAGTACGCAAATTTTGGACTTTTGCATCCTCGGTAGTTCGGACTTCGCGAGTTCGACTCAGGAGTGTGAACTCCCGCGGACGGGAGGACGCAAGTCCGGTAATTCTGCAAACAGCAGCGTACTTGATAACATCAGTCAGCTCACCTTGGCTACTGCAATTTTCCTCACTGTATTTACAATAAGACGAAATATATCAAACACCACTGCCCCTTTTCGTTTTCATTTAAACATATTAATAGCCGCAGAAATGTTCAGGGAACGTACATGGCCTACATTACAATGAAACGAAATATTATATCAAACATTGCCTGTTTTCATTTTAATATTAACATATTAATAGATTAATAGAATAAAGACCAAAGATTACCTGTTAAAATTTACCCAAAACGAATTATATCTTATGTTTATCCACTACAGAGACATCAGAGCCAGCGGAAAATGTCAGAAGGACTAAGCTAAGTTGAGGCTGCTCTCGTCGGGATACATGAGCACTGAGCGTCGGCTGATCGAGTGGAGCTCCCGTGTCCGAAATCGGCGAAGCACATTTTCAAATAGGCGCTGTTTTTATAAGCGGTGGAAACACACCGAGTACCGGCCCAAAGTCCCTAGTTCCTGGAGAAAGTTCCTGCAGTGGAAACGTGGCTTAATGTGTGTGTGTGTGTGACGTTTACTTCAGGTATGGATTTATGAGCTGTTTCTATTCAAACCCATTAAATCAGCCACAATTATTTTAAGTGCACACACATGTACATATATCCCAGCACTGGAGGTCAAGACAGAGAGAGAATTATGTTCGCCTTTGTTACATGCTGTTAAATTGGGGTTGACAGACTGAAGAGAAGGAAAGGTCAAAGTTTATGAGCTGAGACAAATTGCTGCTAATCAATACAACTGACGGTAATGACATTGACCTTCCAGAATCCTGATCAGAATCAAACCTTATTTAGAAATATAAAGAAACAAACCTGATTTCGAATGAAGTAACACATCATTTCGGTGTATTTGAGTGTGTGTTTTGAAGAGAGCGCAGAATTAAGAGACATAATAAACTGTCAAATCTCTTTATCACTTGTGTATGCTTTAGATAATTTGCAGGTATTCATACCTTTGTGTTTGTATAAGTGTCTGTCTGATCATATAACTTGATGCTTATCTAACATAACATTTGAAGGCCACTTCTAACGTTCAGTCAAAGCTACTGAAGACCTGAAATATAGCACTAAAGTCTACTACTCACTACTTTTACTTTACTTTATGGTAAGTTTTTTGGAGCTTGACAGTAACTATCATACATAACTACATAACTAAGTTTAAGGATGGGAAAAATGGTCAGCGCGCCGGGCGCATGGTCTAAAAGGGTTGTCCCAATTCTCTTAATGAGTTTTGGGCGTAATGTGCAATAAACTAATCAGAATCTCATCTCCCATTCCCTTTAGTTGCGCTCACGCCATGGCGGATTCGCTATTTACATGGCGGAATTTACAAGCAGAAAAACTGAACGCTTCTCTAGCGAGGAAACGGATATGCTCGTGCGCGTAATTCTGATACATGCAATGACTATCCATTATGACATGTAGGCATTTTTATATTTATGTACACAATAATAATTTCAACGCGCCAGCAATGCGCCTTAACACACCTCGTTTTCAGACCAGCACGCCCATGGGCGCACAAATGGGCGCAAATTCATTTGCTATTTAAACAACGTGGCGCAGGACATGAAAATGATAACTGCGTCGGGTTGAAACTAGCAAAAAACACTTGCGTCGCACCTGGCGCCGCATTGTGCCGGGTGTATGATAGAGTCCATAGACTGAGCCATTGACCAACAAAAACCTGGTCTAAAGTTTGGTGCAATATTTTTTCTTTGCGCCTATAGGCGGGTGCACAACATGCGTACACTTTGCTTAATATACACACAGGGATGAGCAGCAGCACACAAACATTTTTATAAATGAAAAATTAAATTGCGCCATGTAAATAGTGAACCCGCCATAGCGCGAGCGCAACTGGGGCAACTTAAAGGGGATGGGAGATGAGACTCTGATTGGTTTATGGCACGTTACGCCCAAAACACACCCATTACTCATTAAGAGAATAGGGACAACCCTTTTAGACTATGCACCCGGCGTGCCGACCATTTTTCCCGTCCTTAAACTAGATCGTTAAAATATGGCCCAATGTGTGCAAAATGATAAAATGGAAGGTTTCCAGTTCGAATAACCAAGAAAAATGTTTCTAAAACATAAAAAAAAACGGGATATTTTGAACATTCAGAGAACATTCAGAAATAAAGTTTTTATAACTTAATGGGAACATTGGAAAAACATTTTTAGAACATATTTTTGTTGGCTGGGCAGTATCTGATATGTATTGGACATGTCTCAGATACTGAATCTGTTGTATGTGTGCAGGGTTTGAAATTAACACCCGCCAAATGCGGGTAAAAATCAGCTGTGGCGGGTAACGCTGTCAAATCACTAGCCAATTTGGCGGGTTACTTTTCGTAAATTATGTTTACTAATTAATTTCTTGAGGAACTTCATGTAAGCCAAATCTGCACAGATTTAGTGTAAATACTGAACTCGAGACTCATCATGATATATTAATGAGTTTTGGGCGTAATGTGCAATAAACTAATCGGAATCTCATCTCCCATTCCCTTTAGTTGCGCTCACGCCATGGCGGATTCGCTATTTACATGGCGGAATTTACAAGCAGAAAAACTGAACGCTTCTCTAGCGAGGAAACGGATATGCTCGTGCGCGTAATTCTGATACATGCAATGACTATCCATTATGACATGTAGGCATTTTTATATTTATGTACACAATAATAATTTCAACGCGCCAGCAATGCGCCTTAACACACCTCGTTTTCAGACCAGCACGCCCATGGGCGCACAAATGGGCGCAAATTCATTTGCTATTTAAACAACGTGGCGCAGGACATGAAAATGATAACTGCGTCGGGTTGAAACTAGCAAAAAACACTTGCGTCGCACCTGGCGCCGCATTGTGCCGGGTGTATGATAGAGTCCATAGACTGAGCCATTGACCAACAAAAACCTGGTCTAAAGTTTGGTGCAATATTTTTTCTTTGCGCCTATAGGCGGGTGCACAACATGCGTACACTTTGCTTAATATACACACAGGGATGAGCAGCAGCACACAAACATTTTTATAAATGAAAAATTAAATTGCGCCATGTAAATAGTGAACCCGCCATAGCGCGAGCGCAACTGGGGCAACTTAAAGGGGATGGGAGATGAGACTCTGATTGGTTTATGGCACGTTACGCCCAAAACACACCCATTACTCATTAAGAGAATAGGGACAACCCTTTTAGACTATGCACCCGGCGTGCCGACCATTTTTCCCGTCCTTAAACTAGATCGTTAAAATATGGCCCAATGTGTGCAAAATGATAAAATGGAAGGTTTCCAGTTCGAATAACCAAGAAAAATGTTTCTAAAACATTTTAAAAAACGGGATATTTTGAACATTCAGAGAACATTCAGAAATAAAGTTTTTATAACTTAATGGGAACATTGGAAAAACATTTTTAGAACATATTTTTGTTGGCTGGGCAGTATCTGATATGTATTGGACATGTCTCAGATACTGAATCTGTTGTATGTGTGCAGGGTTTGAAATTAACACCCGCCAAATGCGGGTAAAAATCAGCTGTGGCGGGTAACGCTGTCAAATCACTAGCCAATTTGGCGGGTTACTTTTCGTAAATTATGTTTACTAATTAATTTCTTGAGGAACTTCATGTAAGCCAAATCTGCACAGATTTAGTGTAAATACTGAACTCGAGACTCATCATGATATATTAAATAAGCCTAATTCCGCAGCATCTGGGCATATCTAGCTTACTTGAACATACCCAGCAATGTAGCTACTGGCCATCGGGAGCACCGGGACATTCCCGGTGGGTCGATCGCCGAAGCGA